GAGGACCTCCTCCTCGTACTCGATCACCTCCTCATACTCCTACTCTCGACGGGTACGAAATCCACCAACTCGTTCTCTACATGCATGCAATGATGATGCAACACTTAGTATTTTGACAACAACAACTCTTAAAATAAGAATACACATGCTAAGCTACTAAGCTAGCTCTAATGACTAAGATACTAAGCTAATCATTATCTCTACCAAATAGATTCCAAGCTCACCCTACAAATGCTTAATTTTTATAAACCAATATCATGACATTATTCATTTAGCCTTAATAGGTATTTAGCTACCATATTAACTAGTCTATTTTAGGGCTACAAAAATTACAGCAAGCACCAAATAATGCCATGAAGCTACTACATAAATTTTAGAGTTAAAGCTATCACCAATCTACCACAAAAATTCTTACAATAATTAACTTAATAATATTAAGCACTCTCAAATGATTTAATAGCTCCTGGTATAAACAAGCACATATATGAACTAAATAAACTAACAGATAGAGCACAATTTTAGGAACCTAACAAAATTTGTTTCATAATTTTTAGATATCTACATTATTTTATATTAATTACCAAAGTTTAGCTCAGAATTAAAATAAAAAGCTATTTCTATTTTTCACGAAAAAGGTAAACCAATTTCGGCCCAACGCGGCCCACGCGAGGCACGGCCCATGCGCGAAGCTGGCCCACGGCAGGGAGCCCGCGCGCGCGCTGGCATTCTTGCAAAAATGACCTCACATTATTAGACAATAGCACGAACACTACACGTACTATTTCTATAGACAACGACTTTGCAACGGAGCCCTCGTATCTTTTCACCTTCGCACCGGAGAGGTCCCCGAGATGCCCCGCGCTCGCCGATGTGGCGGGCGGTGGCACTAGGCGGTACACCGCCACCTGGGACCCTTGCTGACCTAGCTAGGAGATCGACGCTCACCTATGGGCAGACGCGCGACGATGGGCGGTGGTTGCACGAACAGGGGTGAAGCAGAGCGGGCTGTCCCCGTCGGCGACGACCTGTAGCGGCAGCAACAGCATTCCGGTGAGCCACAATGTACAACAGATAATAGAGGTGATGGATAAGCATTAGTGATGCACCACGATCCTACCCATGGTGGTGGTCTGGCCGGAGATGCCCCGAGCAAGTCTGGCCACATGCGCGAGATGAGCTCGATGGCGAACCGTAGTGACACGGCCATGCCGACGGCGTGGAGGTGGCTATAGGGCTATGACTTGGGTGCGCACGACGAAGAGGGGTTCTAGGCGAGGCTAGTGGTGCGGTCAATTCGACGTGATATGGTGAGGTTGGAGCTGGCCACGGCAAGGCGGGCAATCAAGGCGGGGTGGGGGCGGTCAGCAAGAGGACATAAAGGCGGAGATGTGGGCACGAGGAATTGATGAGAGGTGCTCGCTCTCTGGCTCACCGTGATCGCGGCGGAAAATAGAGGGAGAAAGAGAGAAAGAGAGAGAGACGGGGTGCGGCAGTGGGCTCAGCGAGGCGAGCCTTGGCGGGACGCGGTTGACGCGCCCGAGGGACCTATGTCCAAGCACGAGGGGACGAGCACGAGCGCCCATGACCGGCCATGGCCCGCGCGTCGTAGCGCCATTAATGGTGTGACGACGGCATTCACGGCCACGTGTGGACGGCACCCAACCGGGCCAGGGGGCAGCGCGATGCGGCGAGCAATCGTGAGTGCGGGAGTGACACGATGACAGCGGCAGCGACTGCGACCATGATTGCGTCGCGACGCGCGACATGGAGGGCAGCAGCAGCATCAGCGGCAGCCACGGTGGTAGTGGCAGTCGGGTGTAGAGAGGGCTAGTGGAGCACGGCGACCAATGGTTGGCTGCAAGCGGTGCGGGCAGACCAAGGGCAGCCTCGACCGGCCGGTGTGTGGCCACGCACGCTTGCGCAGCGACGCAGAATGGCCATGCGTGGTGACCACGTGCCTGAACCCGGTGTCCCGAGACTGATTAGGGGCATGAATTTTAAAGCGCTCTCCTAAACCTAAACCGGCTTTACTACACTCAAGATGGCACATGAAACTACCAAATCGAGCTATAACACTACACCACTTCTTAACCCAATCTCTCACAATAAATTGCTAAACATAGCAATGTCTAGCTGTTGACAGATTTGGAAATTTCTAAGTTTTTATCTGGATTTGCTTTCCAAGTTCCATTTCTAAACTATTAGAAATACTAGCTAGTAATATTATTTTTCTACAGTAAGTATTTCATTGTCATCTACAAAGTTTGTACTTCAAACTTTATTTAAGTATCACATACATGTTCTATAGCATTTTTGCTTAATAAAAATTAGTTTCAAACCCTACTTCATATGCATGAACTATTGAATCGATTTTCATTTTGCATTTTAATTGATCGTTTTGAGTTACAGGAATTGATCTACACACTTTATCACATGCATTAAAACTTAAATATGATGCTCATGATATGTTTTAGTAGATGATTTATTATATAACACCGAGGGTGTTACAAAGGCCCGGGTGCCAGGCTATTGGGGACAAGACACGCATTAGCTCCTGGCGTGGGCGACAGCATACCAAGCGTACCAGCGTTGAGGAGGCAATGGGTATACTCTGAAAATCTGCTACCAACGTTGGGCCTATGGCTCTGTTCGACAGGACTTATCGCTGCTATGGTTGATTTATAGAGCTGATTTGTTGTGAGAGAAAAATACTATTTTCATGAATAAAAAGTAGAGCTCATTCTCGTTGATAAGCTCAAGAAAAAGGACCATAGTCACCGCTTGAGTCTCGCACAATTTCAGGGTAGTGATTGCTAGCAGTAAATGCCGAATTGTCTCGAGCCAAACGAGGCGCAGGGGCTCCAGGGTGAATGCATGTAGCGGCAGACAGCTGGCTTGACGAGATGTTAGGTAGCCGGGCATTAACTTAGTCATTAACCTAGGGGGGCAGCGAGCGGGCATTCCGCACCGCTGCTGCCTTGGACGTGTGAAGCATCAAGACCGACGAACCAAGGCGCATCCGACCCTGAGCAACCAGGACATCCGCAATGTTTTGACTCGACACTCGAACGCGAAACACACAGTCACACACATGGTGAACCTGAAGGCGCCCCGGAGGAGCGACAAGCGGAAAATGAACGTCATTCTGAATGAAAAAAGGTGTTGAAACGGTGGGACCTCGAGGTGGGATCCAGATGAAAGCAGGAGTGGGGGTGAGGGATGGGGAGATTGCACCTGGGATCACAGTGTCGTAGAGATTACAGAGCAAGCATTCCTGAAGGCGAACTCCTAGGTATACCTGTAAGCTCGATCGATCGACGGGTTGTGGATGCCCCACTGCCGATGGCCGGCGGGAGAGTTAGCTAGCTAGCTCCGCACGCGCCGTCGCCCGCCCGCCGCCGCGTGCCCCCCGCGCCAGCACGGGAATCTAGAGGACGGCTCCGATTCGACAGGGATAGAAAACGCGGCCCTGAATGCACAAAAAGGTGTTGAAACGGTCAGGACCGCAAGGTGGGATCCAGATGTATTTAGCAGGATATCGTGGGGGTGAGGGAGCCGTCTTTGATATGACCTGACGGACGATATTGTCGTAGAGATTACAGAGCAAGACATTCCTGAAGGCGAACTCTGAATTATAGCCCTGTAAGCTCGATCGATCGACGGGTTGAAAGATCCACGTCTCTGCCGATAAACCGGCGGGACATTTTAGAACTAGCCTTAGGACATGCACGCGCCGTCGCCCGCTTACAATAAGATAAGTCTCCAATATTGTGTCAGCGCCAGCACATATCTGGAGAGGACTGTGAGCTAATAGGTCGACGGGGATCATATGAAAATACGACTTATTCTGTGACACGTACCCTTTGAGTGGTAGTGTTTTTTTTTCTTTATTTGTATTAAAGAAAAAAGAGCACGAGATGCCCCGCGGTATTTAGAGGATATCGTCTAGCACGAGAGAAAGCCGTCTTTGATATGACTCTGACGGACGATATTCCCCACAACACTGATATTTTATTAAAAAAGACAGGCTACGACAAAAACCATCTCTGAATTACTAGCCATCTCTAATTTGTATTTTAGAGTAGACGGGTAATGAAAGATCCACGTCTCTGAAATCATAAACCGTCTCTGAATTCCATCGATCAGAACTTTGTCGTGACCGGAGAAACCGAGGACGATGGCGCTGAGACGAAAGCTGAGAGACAGCTCAGCTGTGAAAATGCGAAGACTCAATACTCCGTACGTCATTACATCGACAGCGGGTATTTGTACGATCGTCGCGTCGTCTTGTGCAAGAATATTTTAGAAATGGTTCTTCATATAGAAAATATATACTACTTGCGACCAAAAGTGATGCGTCCTCAGAGACATTTCTTTTTTTGAAAGGGTCCTCAGAAACATCTCTCACTCTTTCGCAAATTTGTTTATTAAAGCAAAAAAGACGCTATGTTGTGCAGGCGTATCCGGGACTTGGCTGCCTGGAGAAACCACCTGAACTCAGAAAGATTGCTATTCTCAAGGCAGTAATTTCTAGTAATCAAAGGACGATAAAGGATCATGCTGGAAAAGAGGAATTAACAGCCTTAAATGATGCATCGTCTTCGATCGTCTTCGATCAGCACCAACTAACCAGGGGAATGGGATGCATATATACATAGTAGGGAGGCCTGATCGCTGCTCATCAGTCATCACTGCACATCATCACCTTTCTTTCACAGTCAGTCACTGTCAGTCGCGCACCACCACAGCCTTTTCCCAAGACAGCAAGAAGAATGGCGGCGCTCAAGCTCAACAACTGCATGACGACGAGCTCCTCCTTGTGAATCCTGCTCATCGCTCTCAACTTGCCGTCGTGACCGGGGGACCCGAGGACTGATGACTACATCATCCCGGCGACCACCAACGCCGCGAACATCACTGGAGCGTTCTTCACCTACTCCGGCCTCCGCGGCGCGCTGGCCTTGCAGGCCCCGGAGAACTTCACGGTGGCCAAGGCCTCCATGGCGGAGTTCCCGGCGCTGAACGGGCAGAGCGTGTCGTACGCGGTGCTCTCGTACGGGCCGGGCTCCATCAACCCCACGCACACTCACCCGCGCGCCTCCGAGCTGCTACTCGTCCTCGACGGCGCGCTCTCCATCGGCTTCGTCGACACCGCAGGCAAGCCCTTCACGCAGGACCTCGCCGCCGGCGACTTGTTCGTGTTCCCCAAGGGCACCGTGCACTGGCAGTACAACAGTGGCACCCAGCCTGCCAAGGCGCTGTCCGCGTTCGAGAGCGCCGCCGCGGGGCTCGTCTCCCTCCCCGCCACCCTGTTCGGCGCCAGCGACATCGACGACGTCGTGCTGTCCAAGTCCTTCAAGACCGATGTGGCCACCATCCAGAAGCTGAAGGCAGGCCTCTCCCCGAAGCCATGATCGTCTATCGGCTTTGCTTTCAGTTGCTCCCGGGCCTCGCGTGCATCTTTTCCAGCTTCCCTTTGTAATCGTCCACGTCGTCGTTCTTGAATAACCTGCCAAGGGCAATGGTGAGTAGTGAGTTACCCAGTGAGCGTCATGTCATGGATCAAATAATTTATAATCTCCAACAAACCGTCAGGTGTGATTTGTATTGTGTTGATGTGAATTTGTTAATTATTGTAATCTATCTCAATGATAATATCTATACATTACATCGTAGTACGTACTGGCTCTTGTTGCTCGTCACATATCACGTGATGTTAACGCCAGTCGCCATGTCACGGAAAACCCATTTAAATTTGTCTCAAAGGTAGAAATTAAGGTGCTGTTTGGTTGGTTGATTTTTGACGTGACCAGATTACAGTGTCATCAAATTACGTTAGTTGCTGTTTGTTTTACCTACCAGGCTAACAGATACCGCGGGAATCGATCCGAGTCTTCATTGAGCCAATCCCGCCCAATCATCGGCGGTATAAGTTCGCATTTACGTCCTGCACCTGCTTTTCCCTTCCGACGGCTGAACCAAACAAGAAGAGAAAGCAATAATTCCATTCCCCTTGCCGCCATGGACCTGTTCCTTTTGTGTTTACTTTACGGTGGTGGAACCAAACACCTCCTAAAGTTGGCATTTTAGATAACTGATGAGGGTTCGACAAGTCGATTTCGTAGACAAATTTGAAGACCGGTGTTTGTTACTCCTACTTTTCTACTTGATTGTTTCTAGTAGTTTAATTCAACACAGTAGACACTAGGAGTAATAACAAACACAAACTTACCCAAATTGTAATGTTCCACCACTTATGGCTTTATTTGATGTTTATGTATTCACCTTAATCCATGTTATCATTGTTATAGCTGAAATTAAAATAGTGTTTGTTGACGCTTTGTATGTGTGTATATAGGAAAGGGGATTCCGCAAGCGCACAGAACTATCGTGTAGCATTTCACTTGGTGAGAACCAAGTGTCGAATTTATATTTTCCCAAAGAAAGACGGATGGACATTTTTGGGAACTGTGGATAGGTGGGCTAAGTAGATGTGTTTAGCAACACGGGGTTGATGGAGGTAGTGTGGATGCTGGATGGAAAAGGTAAGGGGATAGCACGACAAGCAGAGGTAGCCAGAAGTGTAGTGTAGCTGAGTGAAAGAGAAAGAGCAACTAATCTTAAGCAACAAAGATAAACTAGTGATAGCAAGAACGTCCTTAGTACGAGGGGTGTACCTGCCTTGAATTCAATCAGGAACAAAGCACAATGAGCCTTACGTTTTAATAACTAGACCCAACGTGGTGGAATACAGAGGAAGGATAGGGCTGTCCACCTGCCAACTACCACAATCTATCCAGGGATCTAGCCATACCTACACGCAAGGTATAGCCTAAGCACCACGCTTAATCTATAAACTCACTGCTTCAATCTGAGCTCTGGTGAAATAAGATCGAAGCACCCTAACAAGATGGTAGAACAAGTACTAATGATGAATGGACTAAACACTAAGATAACTATGATGCTAATGCCAGAGAACAAGCACCTAAGCTCACTAATGATGAACAAGAGCAAGACAAAAGCTATATTACTGAATAAAGTATTGAACAAAGTAGAGTACTGAATAAAGTAAATGCTAAATAAAAGATTACAAAGGAGCTATACCAGACCAGAAGACTTTTTCGGACTCCGAGGCGAGCTCCGCTCTAACTCTATTGCCACTACTAGCTAATAACTACTACTTCTAGAGCTACTACTCTAAGCCTTGAGAGCTTGGAATACTTGATTATGCTTGGGGATGATCTTCACCGAGCTCCACACCTCCTTTTGTAGTGTGTAGAAGGTGAGGGGTACTTGTAGGCAGTGAGTGAGCGGTGGAGAGGCAGGGGGCGTCGGCGACTGTCCCCTGCACAGCCATTGCATCCAACGGTGATGGATGGCCTCTGGATGGCGGTTGCATGCAGGTAAGTCGATTACTTTGGCCGGTAAGGTGGTAAGAAGATCGGTTTGGCCCCTCCAAGTCTACGACAGTGGGCCCATGGATCCAAGGGAGCTCAACCTCCACCTTTGGATCAAACCGACATGGATCAAGCGTGGAGATGCATCATGGACATGACACTTTGGTAATCACACGATCGGTGACGTGGCAGGGGGTGGGGCCGTCGAGTGATGCCAGGTGACATCGGCCGACGTGGCCATGTGGGCCCACGGCCCCCTGCCACGTCCACTTGCCTCCTATGCACGTCTTTTGTCCATTTTTGTGAAAATTCCTGCATACAAATAATTTTTTCAAATACAAGTGAAACTAGGTGAATTATAAACATATAATGACACTTGTGATGTTGTTTTACCTTAGTTTTGGGTGGAATGTTGATAGTCAAAATGAGTGTTAGTGACCATCAACAGTGTTGCTATTTCGAAGCTATAGCTAAGCAATTTAGCAGCCCTAAAACGTAATATAACAGCCGTAGCTGACATAGCCGTAAAAATAGCAATAACTTAGCATTGGCTGTCTTTAGAAGCTATAGCAGCACTCGTTGTAGCCCGCTAGGTAAGACCATGGTTTCTAAGCCATTTTTGTCAATAGTTGGAGGTGTGTTTGTGCCTCGAACACAATACATATTCATGTTGGTATGATAGATACAAATTAACATGTTCGAATATATGCCGATGCATTGCCCCACTTTACTCAAAAAATATTGATTGATAATACACAAGAAACGGGTTTTTTCTCTTAGTGTCAGAGAGGTCCCAACACTTGAGGTAGAAATTTTTTTTTTTTCACCATCCTACTTTAAGTTCTATTGGCTCAAATTACATCTAACTTTGTACTAAAAAAACAGGTTTTATTGAAGGCTGTACCACCCTAATTTTTATTTTACCATAGTTATTTAAATTACACAAAAAATTTTGATTTGCAACTCATGTGTAAAATAACTATGATTTCAATACACCTAGCTGTACCTAAGAAACTAGAAAAAAATCATGCGGGAAGCCATCATAAAGCACAAACATAAAATCAAATTCTTTTGCCTCAAAAAAGACATCAATTCTTGCGCTGGAAAGCTTTAAAACTATCTTGTATTCTTGTTGTCTCCAAGCATATTTGTGGTGAACTGGTGACGCAGGAATATACCTGACGGCTGCCAAATGCCAACTGACATGAATTGATGCAATGCATTGTATAGTACTCCTACGTAGCTGCAGGCATATAATTAAGCGTAGAATCACACAACTGAGTCTGATGTTTGACGAACTCTGACGTCCTTCCATATGCGCTGCAAAGGAGTCTGGATGTTTGACGAACTCCGACGGCCTTCCCCAAATGCCCAAACAACCGTGTCTTAAGCTGGCATGCCTTTGGCAGTTTCACCATATTCATCTAGCAAGAGCTAGCAATACTGTCACCTCACCTGTGCTGTACATTGTAACACCCAAACCTACAAAGCTTAGGAAACAAAGGCCGAGACGCGCTGTCTGTCGTTAGTACAAAGATAAGTCACTCTAACAGTCTAGCAGGCCACACCGGCACAGCTCTTCCAAGGCCGCGCTAGCTGTTCCTCTAAAAGTATATATATATATATAGCTAGCAAACCATCGCAGCCCCCGACTCCTGTGGATCGCGCCACGCTTCGGCAAGCTCTGCGCCACGTGCGTCTGATCGATGGCGCTCGCTCATCCCGGCCCCCGGCTGCTGTTCCTTGTGCCGCCGTGCCGCATCCTGCTGCCCGCGCCAGCACGACATCTGACCGACTTCGTGGTGCCGCAGGACTTGTTGGCCGACCCGTCCCAGCTCAACGGCACCTTCTTCACCTACACCCGCCTCGTCAGCGGGAACGCCGGCGACCCGGCCAAGTTCACCGCGACCAAGGCCACCGCGGCCGAGTTCCCGGCGCTGCTGGGGCAGTCCGTCTCGTTCGCCGCGCTCGTCTTCGGCGCCGGCACCGTCAACCCGACTCACATCCACCCCAGGTACGGTACACGTACACGTTGGCTTGTACATACATACGTGTCTTCGGACTCATGCTTACGTACGTGTCGCTGGCATGATCGATCGCATGCAGGGCGTCGGAGCTGCTGGTCGTGGTGCAGGGCGCTCTGTTCGTGGGCCTGGTCGACGCCGCCCGCAACGGCACGCTGCACACGGCGACGCTGCAGGCCGGCGACATGTTCGTGTTCCCCAAGGGCATGGTGCACTTCCAGTCCAACAACGGCACCGACGTGGCGCGCGCCTTCTCGGCCTTCGGCAGCGCCAGCCCCGGCACCATCTCGCTCCCCACTGAGCTCTTCGAGACCGGCATCGACGACCCCGTGCTGGAGAAGTCGTTCCACACCGACCAGGGCACCGTCGATGCGCTCAAGCACGACCTGCAGCAGGCGCCGGCGCCCGCGCCGCCGCAGAACTCCGCCCCCGTCGTCGCGCTCGTTGGAGCACGTCTGGCGGCGGTGATGCTCTGCGTCAGCACCGCGTTCTCGCTCGTCTTGTGAGGAGCGTGTTCAGCTGGTCACGAATAAGCTGGTGCCATTCGACGTGGGACGTTCTGCTTGCTTCTCCGTGCTCCTTCTGAATAAAGATGAACCATATGACAACGAAAGGAGTGTTTTTTTTTGGGGTGTGGTGGGGGGGAGGTGAGAAGGTGGGAGGAATTGTATTGGCGACACGAGAAAAGAGTCGAATGATCCATACGACAGAAACCGAATCCAGTCAGTTTATGGGAGCACCCGCTCTTTCAAAAGGACCTATTTAAACAGAAAACCATAATTCATTTGGAAGAGCTATATTTGTAAACAACCTGACAGCCACATTTACTAATTATAAAGGTGTTACAAAATCACTAAATCATGCATGCAATGCTCTAGCGCGAGCGGAGGTACCCAAAAATACCACTTCTGTGTCCAACAGGAGACACTTCAGGAGACCTAAATCCAAAATGGGTCTCCAACAGAATATCTATAGCCTCCAACAAAGTATCTA